ATCAACCATGTAGCCAGAGGAGTAACCAGAGCAGAGTACAAAGCTGGCCGAGCTCCGCAGACACGAAGCACGAACGCGCGTGGAGAATAGCTGCTCGGAGAGGACCACCCAACGAGAGAGGCGGCGAGGTGGCCCGTCAAATGACGGCCATTTCCCAACGATTCTATTTAACCAGAATATACGCTTTTAGACACTGCACTGCTTTTGCACATAGTTGAACTAATTCTAAATAATTGTGCTGCAAGAGATCCCTGAGTGTTGGCATAATACAATAAACAGAATTTATTTGGGCATTAACAGTAGTTGTAGGAAGACTCACTGTAAATCACTGTTTCAATTGTCGAAAAATCATGGATTTCAAAAAAAAATGAGACTTGCACCATTCTCTGAAGCATCTTTTACCCGATGACAATGTTTAATAAAAACTAAATAATATTCTCACAGGGTCTTCATGTAAAGAAGCCCACAAAATAAAAATATTCATTTTAAACTCAAAGGGCCTTTTCATTTAAATCGATCGGGGAATAACTTAGATAAAATCGCATTAACGGTTTAGACGCTAGCGTTAACCGCAGACAGAAGGACGAAGAGACGGTCCCACGGACATACGGAAGGACAGACGAACTGGCGGACAGACCCATAGTTTGTATTATAGTTTTATAGTAACAGAAGGTATTGGACCGTCGGACGGGTAAAGGGACGGACAAACGGAAGGACAGACGGATGGACAGACTTACGGACAGACAGACGGACAGTCGGATGGACGAACGGTTTGACGGTTCAACAGACAGCCATTTTGTCAGCAATCGATTTTTCTCTATGAAGGTTCCATAAAAATGGATTCTGACTACACAATTTTCTACATGCTGCATTAAATAGCATACACCTCCCAGTCGTGGTAACTGAGTAATTCCTAGACCTTTTAGGATCCAATAGCTTCCCTAGACTTCCCCACGGTCTCTTAGACTTCCCCACAATTCTTTCCTGCATTTACTACCAGCAATACTAAATTGCTCCATAGTAATCTACAAATTGTGTGTATAGTTTAATAGAGCTTCTGAGAGCAATTAACCAGATAGTCAGTAGATCGCTTCGAGACGTGATCCTTAGAGTCTTGAGGGCACTGACTGTGAATCTTGGCATAGCCCCAGAGGTTCCAACCACCACTGGCAAGATTCTGGCGTTGGGTACTCCATGAAGTTGGGCTGCTAAGAGGATCACTGGTTGGTATTTTACCATCTTTTCCTCCTCTGCTTTCAGAAGGCTAGATCCATCCTTGTGGCGGATAGTCACACAGACCTCGTGGACCACTTCCCGGTTTTTTATTACCAGCTCAGTTTTGAGTCTAACCCCTTCGACAACGAAGAAAGTGGCTTCGTGGACACCACGGTGTCCGATTTCCGGAGAATCTTCCCTTCTATGAATTTATTGATTTCGTCATGGTGCTTTATTCTTGCTGGCTTCGTAAAAATGCACTGTCCGAGGATGTGATTCATGGTTTCTACCGCTGTATTGCACCTCCTGCAGTGAACATCCTCTGTGGGCCTTCCTCTGCAAAGACTAATTTTATTGGCAGCGGTATTTGATATCAATTGGTGTGCAGTGATAAATAAACCAGTCTTTCAAAAAGGCATTTCCAATCGGAACGTTTATATGCGCCTTAACCGCTCTCCCTTGGGATCCTAGCTTCTCCCAGGCGGCTACCTCGACATCGGCGTATTTCTTCTTATAAGCCCTTAAATCTTGTTTAGAATAGGGCTAATTGAGTTTCAGTGATTTTGCAGTCTTTAGGGTCCGTTGGTAAAAAGTCGGACAGAAGCTCAACCAAAAACTGGGCAGGAGTAATCCCAGGTTCCACGCAACTTTAGGAACGTATTGCGCGAGCCGCAGTAATCTCTGTTCTCCATCTCTCTTGTAATAAGCCATCTGCAGTATTCATATGCAGATGTAGGAAATGTTTGACTGCCACTCTGATTTGACCGTCCGCTTCCCTGACATAAATGGTATGGATATAACCAATTGATAAAGGTAATTAGGCATTATGTAGGTATTAAGTAATGCCAACTTCTGAGTGGAGTTTAAATCCGCCTTTTGAAGCATCGACACTGCTTCCGAGGATGTTCGGAAATTCGATGTGGATGCTTTAGATGGTATGACGTTCCAGATAGAGTAGTTCACTCCCAGGTATGTAAAAGTATGATCATTGCTGACAAGGGGAATTCTCTCCCCAACCTTTCCAGACAGGGGTCCTCAATGAACCAGGATCGTTCAAAAGTTGTAATTTGGAATGATGAACATTTCGCGTCGGACAATGTCATTCCGAGGGCCCCAAGATATTTCACCACTATATCAACCAATTCTTGAGCTCCTTTGCTAACAACACTAGATCGTCAGCAAATGCTAACACGAACACACTCTTTCCCAATAGCGTGTATCCTGACATATTTTCCAATTTCTCAAGCAGGCACTCCACTATGAGATTAAAAAGGAGTGGGGATAAGGGAGCTCCCTGTTTTACTCCTCAACGGATTGACACCTCAATTCCTTTCGAGGGGTGCTGAATGACGGTGGAAACATCGAGGGGAGTTCATTACCAAATTGGTAAAGACATCCCTTTCCCGGACAGGGACCACCGAATCGCCGCGTGAGGAACAGTATCAAATCCTTTGGATATATCTAGCACACCTACACCACACTCTGTTTTATTTTCATGTCCCTGACTGTTTCATGAAGAATTTGAATATTAGCGAAGCAGCCAGGTTCAGGGATAAACCCTTTCTGACGTGGATTGAACTTCACCACGGATCAAATGCGTTTGTCTATAATGCCCCAAAAGATTCTGCACACCAGAGAACTAATTGTGATGGAGTGACCACCGCATAATGAAGCCACTGTATAAAATTTGGGTACAATAGGGACCTCGGCTTACGGCCAACGGCCTCCTCGTTATGGGATCGCCCCAATCTGTTTCCGGGGAGGCAATGTCTGCCATTTCAAGTTCCTCAGGGCCACTGCCTATGTGACGACGTTTTGGAAGGGAATCAGTATAAGACTGTTTCCTTATCTTGACCTGTAAAGACGTTTCCACCCCCTTCGGACAGAGCAGGGGATCGTCGGTTTCCTTCCTATCCTAATGGTAGGCCCTCGATACAGGAGAGTAGAAGAAATCAGCATAGGGATTTGGCTTACTGGAGTCTTCGGAGGGCTAATGACCCTGCGAGGCGCACTAGTAGAAGGTCGAGCTAAATCATCGGACCACCGACCGTCAGATGGGGACGATGACTCTGCAGTGACGGTAGCTTCAGTTTCAATGGTTATTAAATATCTTCGATAAGTAGTCTCTTTTCTTTTCTCACCCACCTATCGGGCAGTCTTACTCAGAAGAGCGGCCAAATTCTCGTTCCACGTTTCTCCAATGCCGCCATTTTCATCATTTCTTCCGAAGAAAAGACTTTCCCTCCTCTAGGCACAGCAGTCTTACTACTACGCTGCTCGTTGGCAGCTCAAGCCCTATTAGTTGTGTTTGGATGAACAGGCGCAAATGTTGTGAGAGCCCTGATTTGGTTGCAAAGTTGGCGGAGCATAACTCGCATATAAAGTATCCTTTAGATTCTTTCGTACCCGGGCCCTTAGGGAAATGACTCAAAGCTCTAGCTTACCTTTGTAATGCTTGCTGCATTTAGAGCATAAAGACTTGGGAGATATCGTAATGGATTGTATCGTGATGCCGAACCTTATTATTCAAATCATGTAGCCATTCCCTCCTTTCGAGGCACAATATGCGCAACGACTCGCCTGGAAGGGAATCCTAATCATGAACCGTTCCATTCTAGGGTCGTCATAAATGGTGGCCTGTTGTTCACGGGGCGCGCCACCATGCGCACCCACGACTTCGTTAATCGTGTCCGCTGCTAGTCGCTCCGAGGAGCACGTTGGGTCCGTGAGCTGCAAACACTCGACCCCCTTCCCCCGTGACTTGGGGTCCCCGAGATGGTTTTTCTGTCTGGAATTTCCTTTCCTTAGCTAGGAAGTAATTTACTTTAAGATTGATGCACTTTTTCATTATCAGCTTCCGGCAGAAAGAGATTTTCTGTCGAAAACTTGACGTTTTCCGGTGCACGTACACTACTTTTTCTGTTCTTACGAAAATACGGGTGAAAGAGGAAAGAACTGATTTTTAACGAAAACTTGCAGAAAATTATTGTAATCCAATACATGTAATGCGATTGCAAGCTGCGTGCATTGTAATGCAATATGTGTAGCATTAGTTCTTAAATATAAATATTTTCTCTCGTTTATATTGCAACTTATTCTGGAGTTGACTTAAGTGACAACTTTCAAAAATATATATTCAAAATTGTCTCAAATCAACAAACTTTAGCTTATTTTTTTAAATTCGAACTCGTCCGATTATTATTAAAGACCTGAAAGTTCAAAAGTTGAAAATATTAAATTTTATTTTGAAAGCGTTGAGAAATTTTGTCCCTCTTTCCCCATTACTGTTCTTAAGTTATTGCATCGGAATGCATTGGCAAGCGATTGTTAATGAAATATGTACTTCAAATCTTTAAATAATTGGCGTAAAATATATTGAAAATATATGTATTTTTCGTGCTAAGCAAACTAGTGACAACTTTAAAAATTACATATTCGAGATTTTCTCAAATTCACAAATTTGTCTTATTTTTTAAATTTAAAATCCAATTATAATTAAAAAGTGTGTGTGTGTGTGTTTTGCGGGTTCTATCAACTTTAGGTGTATGTTACGCAACCTTTACAAGTTATGCGAGAATGTATATACTGATGTAGCACCAATATCATTTTGTAGTTTTTCGATAAAGTGGTTTCGCTGATGGGGACGCAATGGTGTGACAGAGTTGGAAACGGGATTCCTACCAGGAATTGTCCGGAGAAACAAGTGTGCTTATGTAAGCACGAGTTAGCATGAAGCTGCAGATAGGTCCTATATTTTATCTAGACCATTAAATGATATTTCTTTTGAAGTTCCCTCTCAAAAACGCGTCATCTATATTCCGATTGGCTCTATTATATACAACCAAGTGTACTCTGATTTAAATAGTGGCCCTTAATGAAACAAAAGCTGGTTGGAGAGGGCACTGTCATCGAATTGAGAGCTTCGTTGTAACTTAAATATTTGACAAGAGAATCTCAATTAGATAACTCGTCTTTGCAGCTTGTGATCCCAAAGTGCCACTACATTTAAATAGAAGTATACTCTGTTTATGTTTGTGGATGTGTGGGGGTGGAGTGGTGGTGGATTTCGAGTGCGAGAGGAGGCTGTATACGGTACGTATACATTTGTTAAAGTACAAGTGTCTTGTAAGTAGTAGTTTGATCCAATTAAAGTATTGACTTCAACTATTCAAGAATTCCTGACAATGTAAGTGTATTTTTCCTTTTCGCACAATCGAAACCTGAGAAACAACCATTAACGTGCACTATTGCATTTCTCGATTCGAGGAAAAGTTTGAAGATATGCTGTCAAAGTTATAAAGAGTAAGAAATCTTTAAATTAGTAATTTGGCGTTGAACAATCCTTGTTTAACTTTGAATGGTAGTGATGTGACAACTTCATACAATATGGGTAAAATATTTTAGACAACTGAAGTGATACACATCTTCAGATAGGATAGAAAATGTGACACTGTTATAAAAATATTGTACTTACTGACCTGAGGAGTATTTATTTTTTGTGTTGGATTTTACTACACTTCTTGGTAATTAGTAACAATACATACCTATTGATTGTGATTTTTGTTTTCATGATGTGGGGAGCAAACGCTACAATAATTCCTTGTTTTCTATGAAACAATAAATTCAGCTGTATTCTGTCATCATTGTCAACTGTCACTGTACAGTTTTATATTTTGGCAGACCATCTGGTCTCCATCTATTAAATTAAATGTTGAAGACTTATTTATTAGTATTGGAACTACTCACGAAAAATATAAGAAATGTATGTAGGAAATTATAGTAATTGAAAGTGTTTTAAATAACTTGTTATTCTTGTTGTGTTTTAAGGCTATTTAAGTGATGATCAGTCCCTTGTTGAGCATGACCAGTAAAACTAGTAGTTTGAAAGCTCTTCTTTTGAGGGCATGGAGAGAACGTTGGTCAGATCTGCAATGGGGCATCCACATCAAAACTGTAAGTGTTACATCCTTGACAGCTTCATATTATCTTTTATTTTTGTGTTTTGAATATGTTTACTTTGCAGATTTTACCTCGTGGTGTTAGTGGAGATGTGTACAATTTGGCTGACTGCATTTTACAACAAGCTTTAGTTGGTCCTGGCCCTAATCACTTGGTAGTTTCCTACCTTAAGCATTCTCTCAGCTCTCAGGTAAGCTCCAAATTGGTACTAGGTGGATCATGAATTATAGATACATTTTTTCCCCATTAAGCTTTTTGTTTAAATATTTTTATGTTAAGTTAACCGTGTAGTGAAGGTGTGCCGTAAAGACTGATACTTTACCCGAAATTAATATCTTTGGAAAACATTGCTCTATTGCTTATAAAATTTGAAGTCGTCTTTAAAACATTCTGGTTTACTATTCCTGAATTAATCATTAGAGTAAATAATAGTCTTTGAAATATGTAATATTAATAATATATTTGAATAAAAAAGATCTAGGAAAATGTTTGTTCCTTTTCCTCAAAAACTAACAAACACAATTCATTCAAATTTTTCTCCCATAATCTAACTATGCACTAGAATATTGATAACAAAAATTATTACTCTCAAGATGATTATAATGATTGTGATAATTGTTTGAAAATACACATTTTTCTTCTACAATTTCTTGAGATGATTAACATTGGTGAAGAAAGTGTTATTGTTGCTATAATAATAATTCTACTTATCAAATTGTGTCTACTATGCCTGTTTAAAATTTCATTTCGATTGGACAACACGCTTCTGAGAAAAAGATACATTTGTAAGAAAAAACATGTTTTATGGGAAAAATACATTTTAAATTAGCAGTTGAAAAAGTATACACATTACTACATTCCAGGAGAATAATCATTCTGGACATTATCTTGAAGCTTTCTTTTGGTGTTTTGTCTTTTCTTTACTCTTCTACCTTTATCATGGCCTCAGATGCTCGGTTGGCATAATATATGCGTTCACTCTCTATTGACTTCAATCCTTTAGCACAGTTGTATCCAACATTTATCCCCATTTGTTGTAAAATGAATTTTCTTGCCTCTTCACCATCAATGTATGACTTCATCCGTAACATCAATTTTGATAATCAAGTGACACCAATTTTCAGAGTTTGAGATCTAACAAAAATGCGTTCCCGTATGCAGTTGTTCAGGCTCTCAATTACATTTTGAGTCCTCCCGTAAAGACATTTTTTCAAAAGATACTGCTGATTTAGGTCCGTATAAATGGGTTTTATTACATCAATGATGCCAGGAGAAAAGGAATGTTCGTGATGGTATTCTTGACCAGAAAACTAAGCAAAAGATACGTGTCCTTGTAACTTTGCATAGAATAAATCTACGCATAGTGGGCGTGGCATTTCAAGACTAACCTAACGGAACCCAACATACAAATGTTGTTTTCGCAACCTAAAAATTGGTTTTCTCTCATATATACATCAAATTGTTCATAAAAGATCAAAGTTTTTTATGACATCAAAAAACAATAATGCAATTTTTTTGGCATTTTTCACTACAGGGTTACATTAAATTTATTTGATTCCAACTATATAAAACAGTTAATAATCTGCCTTGACATGCTAAATAGGATTTCAAAGCTTTATATACTCGTTATGTTAATGCTTTCACTTTATGTGTAATACTCGGCTAGTACATTCTTCAGAATGGTTGAGTAACGAAGTGGCCGAGTCAAATGACTTTATTGCCTAAATACATGTTATTTACATGTTCTTATAAAATTAAAACTTTGGAATCTTAATTTGTATTGAGTTGATATTGTTTTCTTTTAGATTGATGAAATTAAATCAAATTAATTTGAAAATATTTATTGTAATTATAACTTCAATTTTAACATTTGTTACATTTCAAGACATTGAAATGTAAATAATTTATTAAGTATTTTTCTTGTGTAGCTTGTGTCATATGCAGCTGTGCTACAAAGAATAAGCAAATATGACAGTTTTCATAAACCTCATTGTATAGTGAGTCTTCTTGAATTTTTGGATACAATCCAGGTGAGAAAAAGCATTTAAAATAATTTATATTTGTTATAATGTAGATAAGAGAAAATTAAGTGTGTTCGCTTTAAAAGTAAGTCCCAAAGGAATAGGGCAATTGTAGGATAAAAAAAATTGTTTCCTTGATTCTTTTTCATGCATTATCTTAAGTGCCCAGTTTGTTTCTGACATAATAACTAATATTTAATAGATTAATATATATTTGAGAAAGCATCACCCCCATTTTTTTTATTAATTTTTGAAAAATCAAATTTATTTTGTAGTCGCAACAACAACTTGGTAATTAGTGACTTTTTGTCTTGCACCATAATGTAAAAGAAATCCACCACCCAAGATGTGTGAATAATTTTTACGTTTTTCTACTGCTCTTTCACTTATTGGATCCAGTTGGTTGTTAAATTTAAATTTTATAGTTTTAAAAACTTCCGGTATTACAAAGGCCATTTCCAGTTTTGTTAGATGTATGCGCACACACATACACATTCATCTGTATGTGTGTGTGCGTGTACACGCAATTTATTCATGATAATATTTTAATGATTTATGCATAATTCATTCATGATTCATTTTAAATATTTTAAGAACTTTTGTATGATGTTTTAATTCGAAAGATTTAAATAACAATTTAGCCTAGAGGAAATTTTTCCAATTAGGCATAGTTTAGGAAATAAGAAGTATACTTTTCAGTACACCTCTTAATACTCAATCTATGGACTTGCACTACTGTGAGAAAAAATGTTTCACTAAGAAAAACTTGCAACTTATTTCAGGGTGGTATAACATGCCGTGGTAAACCTGAAGAAGGATTGTTAGCTGGAGCTGTATTGTCCATTGTTCAGTGGCTTCTTACCTGTGTCCAACAAGCTTTAATAAACATGGAACAGATATGCAGTGGTAGTGTAGAATATTTGGCAATGTTAGAGAAACCAAGTGCTATATTGCGAGACATGTTGGGATGTGATTTTATGGTTGCAATGCTGTGTTTGGCTCGCCATGAGAGTAGTGGTAAGAGTTTATTTATGTACACTATATTTTATTTTTGTGTGTATATTTCAAAAATTGTATTTTATATATTTTACAGGAATGTTTCATGAAGTGGTAAAAAAATGCCAGGAAATAGAGGGTTTATTGAGTGAAAATGTGAAATATCAACCTACTATTCCCATTGGTGATTCAATGAGGTAGGTTATCATTTAACTAAAAATGAATGAAAATTATTCAAGTTCTGATGAATTAATTAAGTTCTAAATTATGAAAACAGAAAGTTATGTCGCTTGGAGAATGACTGTGAGTGGGGGAAACTGGGATTGGAGACAGGAGTTGATCAAAGTGAACCTGTTACATACTGCCTGCAAGCATTGCTTGCTATTGAAGTTTTACTCAACCCAAGTTCAGACACACAGGTTTTTGTTAATCAGATGTTGATGGTGAAAAGGCTTAAGGTAAATTTAATGAGTGATGATCTCACATCCTCTTTTGCAAGAACACACACGTTTAAAACATTAAATGCTATGTTGTACACATTGTTAATCTGTTGTTGCTTTTTTTTGTAGGGGTATAGTATGGCAAGATTATATTCAGAAATAATGCGAGCCTGTCTCATTAGCCTAAATGATGTACTAGGAAGAAGTGAAGAATCTCAATGGGGGGCTTTTACATTTCTTAAAGTACCTCACATTCTTCGTCAACTGCATTTTACAGATAAAGGAATTCAAGGTGATGTTCTGTTTAATTTGCTATGTTTGATGTCTGTACGGTCAAAGAAATGAAAATAAATGAATATATACTTAATTCAATTTTTTTTCATTATATATTATATATATTTATATATATATATATATATATATATATATATATATTATATTATATATATATATATAATTTTTCTTAAAAAAAATAATGGTAAGCCTAAAAAAGTCTAAAAATACACAGGCAAATAGGCAAAAAGTAGGCACAAAGAGGAGATTAAAAAAAAATGACAGGGAAATAGGCAGGCTCAAAAACTTCTCAATAATTAAATTTTGACATAATACATGCATTAAGGAAGAACACAATTCTCTAAAAGCAAATTGTATTTCTAAAATTGCATAAACATATTATGGAGTTTGATAATATTTTCTGAGAGTCAACTAGTCTGAAAATTTATATTTTGTATATATTGTTAAGAAATATTGACAATTCAAGTTGGATTTTCAAGTTTTAATATAGGAAAGTCAATGGGAATCAGGGCAAGGCACAAATCAGTTTTTCTTGTCTTCACCTTGTGACTTCACTTGCTGAAGAAAGGATTGAATAGAGTTTTTTGCATGAGTTTCTATGTTTTACGTTGTAAGATAGATTTTTAGCACAGCTTACCATGTATTCGCAACATTGACAAAAAATTAGATTTTCGTCCCTTGTGAAATCATCTTCTCTATAAATCCACTCTTTTAGCAATGCACTTGTCAATACCTTTGGAATTATTGCTGGCATGCTTAACAGGAACAGCATATGTTCTGATCTGCTATGTACCAGACTTCGAAACCAATACAAAATTATTGAAGAAAACTTAGCTCATCTTGGGTATAAATATGTATAAAAGTATAAAATTGGATGTTGGTATATATAAAAGTGAGAAACTCTGACACCATGTGACAGATCTCCAGGAAAGTTGGCACCTCTACTTGTTTTTTCACCCAAAAGGGTTATGTGCTGTTCATTGTGCTGTAACTCCACTAGATGGTGCTGGAGGACAAAATTTTGCTTCATTTTAATTCAATTTCCCTTCAAACTGCTCTCCGCCTGAGTTTCATAGTTGCTGGCCATTGCTGAGTGCATTGGTGAGACCCAGGAGAAGAGGATGGGTGCGCGCAAGAGAGACAGAGAGTAACAGAGGGATGCAGAAGAGACAGAGACTTACACACAGAGAGAGATGGCATGCATAAGTAAGAGAGAGGAAGAAAGAGACAGAATTTTTTTCTAAATCCGCTTCAAAGTTTTGTTTTTTTTTTATTTTATTTTATTTTTTTTTTAATTATGTAATATGGTACTGGTTCCATTTTTGGGTATTGCTTGTTTTTTTCAAAAATTTGTGAAAGCATGCAAAACTACAAAATTGAAGATATTTTTGCCTTAGAAAGAGTTTGTTGATAAAAATTAGATTTTTAAATAAATAAATAAAAATTAGTGGGGCTATAGAATGGTGCAGACTTACTCGCAGTACTTCCTAATGCTAGAACTGAAACTACCATACATTTATTACCATTATATAAGTGTAGAAGCCATGTACTACCCGGGTTGCCGCAGAGGTTAATTTGTGTTACTCGGAGAATATTATTTATCATAGTTGTCTGTACCCCAGAAAATAATTGACAATTCCAGAAACTTTATTAAAAAACATTTGATGCAATTCTAATCACAAATAGAATTAATTAAGATAAATAAACTGGAAATGTCTGTATGTAATTTTCGAATTTTCAACTTTTTTAACAATTTTTCACATCTCTTATTGGATTTGTAAAACATGTGAACCCAATTGCTGTCTTTTGACGTTTATGACTATTATAGAAGTGCCAATTGTCTGTACAACCTGTGTGGCCGAAGTGGTTAAATGTTGGGTTGGGACTCAGCATTTCGGAGGGAAGGGCTGCTGGTTCAAGACTGGCTGGGGGATGATTATTTGTCACAACTCTCTGTTACCCCCCAAAAATTTAGAGAATTTTTGGAATTGTGAAAATGACATTCAATGAAAAATCGCAAAATTGTGGTATTATATGGAAGGCTTGAAAATGAATAAGGTATATTTCAACTTATACAAAATGTTTTAGATGAGGCAGAAATGCAGGAAAAGAATGGAGACTTTTCTCAGGATGTTGTGGATGCATTTGAATTGTTGTTGCAACATACGCCTTTGCTTGATACAATGGATGCAAAATGTTCATGCAACTGTGTAGAGTGTCTTTTGAAAGAGCTTCTGAAAGTCAAACTTGTTACTGAGGCACATGTGAACCATTACACTAGCAAGAGGTGAGAATAAATGATTCTTAAATCAGCAAATTAATTGCCTGTATCAGTAATCTAAATTTCTTGTATAGTACAATAATGCATGCCCAAATGTCACTTTGTAATGTGATATTTTAACGACAAATATTTAATGAAAGTCTGGGATACAGAAGTGCAAAAATTTAGATTGCCGCTTTTTAATAGATGGATGAAAAAACTGTTGTTAATGATTATTGTTTGTTATTGCAGAGAGGGAATGGCTACATCTATCCAGAAGCTTGACCAATCAGTTTCACAAACTGCTTCAATTCCAAAAGTCATTGTTCGGGCAGAGCCTACACTCTCTAAAATATTAAAAACTTTAGATGCTGACTATGTGAAAATTCAAGTAAGTATGTTTTGACTTACAATACGAATACAACTTATTTGTTAATTTTAGATGGTCTGTTATTGAAAATGGCAATTATATGATTGTAGGAGGCGTTGCTTGGAGTGTTATGTCAAGTATTAACTGGAAAGAGTTTTGAACTTATCATGGCTGTTGCTGCTGTTGAAGGCAAATTACGAACATTTGTCACAAAACTTATTAAATTTAATGAATGTAGCAAACAAATAGTTGGGGAAGTTGGCAAAGCATCCCAAACTCGTGCTATGCTTTTTGATATTTCATTTTTGATGTTGTGCTCAATTGTACATACTTATGGTACAGAGGTAAGATAATTTTCATGTTTTTTACAAAGAATAAATTAACTTATTTTAGATGACATTTTAATCATTTGATAATGTTTCCTGTAGGAGAAAGAAAATAAATGAATGGAAAATGTACCAGAGAAAACCAATCAATTATTTTTAAGAATATTTTTCTTAATATTGTGTGATTTACAAAAATTTTATATTTTGTAGGTGGTTCTATCAGAAGAAAACAGTGGAGATTCGTTTTTTGAACAGTGGGTTCGTGAATGCATGGTAGAACGTGGCCGGACTAAATCCCCTGATCAGATGCTCCTTCACTGTGATCCTGCGAGAGTTGATGCATTACTCACACAATTCAATTCAGCTGATGGAGATTTCAAAACAAGGTATTTGATTTGCCTTTAATGTGAGCACTAAATTATTGAATGTGATGTCATTAAATATTTGTTTTACCTTTCCAAGAGTCTTGTTCAAGACATGTTACAGTAGTCTCTAAAAATGTATGAGGTAACAACAAAGTATAGCTTCATTAAAAATGATTTAAATTCAGTATATTGTTGATATGTGTATATTGTTTTTCTGTTGATCAGTACATGCTGGATCAGAACATCTTATTCTCAAAAATATTACTTGGTGGGAGTAATGTACAATAGGATATGAAAATAAAGTGGATAAACTGATTTATCTCAATATTGTATGTTTTCTTTTGCAGTCAAGTGAAGTGGCATGAAGTTTGCTTGAACATTCCTGCTGCAATAAAGGAAGTGTTACTGGCTTGGGAACATGGTTCACTTACAGCAACTGATGTAAAACGAATTCTTGATGCTATGCGTTCCCGCATGTGTTGCCTTCCTGTGTGTGCTGCTGCTTGGCTTTGTAGCTACATGCAGGTGAAACTTACATCTATTGAGATTAATAAATGAATTCTGTTTTTACCAGAATATAAGTCAATCCCCTCATTTTGAAGAGGCTTCAGAAATTTATAAAAAATAATTTTTAACTAATATTTACTATGAAATCAAAAGAAAGCTGCAATTTCTCTAATGCACTATAAAATTGTATGAAAAATTTGGTATTGTGTATGCTACCAATATTTTCTTGTTCCTTAAAATCATCTTATTAATGGTTTCTGTCACTACCATCTTCACTTATATCATTCTTTCTTTAATTTTGGTTCTTTTCCCATACTGTGTTGTCCTTCAACTTTATAGCCCCCCTCAAAGTTTAGGGCATTGAATTTGCATTCATCTTTCATCTGACACCACCTAAGAACATTGTGTCATATGTCTCTGATATTCTTCCTGTCCGGCTCATGTTCATGACCTTTTTTATCATTTTGTCTCTTCAGTTGTATGTAGAATATAGTTCCTTGTTTCGATATTTTTAGTTTTAATGCCTTAATGTACATGGCAAGACTCGGGAGACTCATCTGTCTGACCACACAAATTTCGTTACACTCCTTTGACCATCTAGTGGAGAAAGAAGGTACCATCTCGGGCAATGAAACAGGCAATTTGAATGTAGCTCAGAGACTTCTATTAGGCTAAAGGATCTTTTACATGCAGTAAATCTTCTACATGGAACATTCGGTTTTACTTCCTCTCCGAAGGAAGGCGTATGAAGGACATTTTTGCTTAAAAATACTTGACTTTGATGCAGTTTGAATGTGCAAACTTGAGTTCAACAGCGTGATAAGCTAACTGTTGTACTATTGAATCTGCAAAACCTTGGCTCCGATATTTATTCTTTTTCTTTTGCAATAAAAACCATTTGTTTGAATCATCTGGTACATTTGTGGAAGATGCCAAAAATACATCTTTGAATATAATTCTTTCTGGCATAGAAAGGGAGTGTAAAAATATAAACTCTTAACAGACTAGGTTTAATCTTCAAATATAAGACAACTCTGTGTTCTTCAAATGAGATTTTTAGAAGAAAAAAAAATAATGCTCATCTTATTTTCGGGTAACTATGGCACTCAGTGACTTAACAGTATGAAGATTAGCCACAGCGAGCTTCCCACAATTGACTCATGTTCAAATCTTGATTTTGGTGAAAGTGTGGTTTATCTTGTTACAGCTTGTGAGGAAGGGGAAGTTAATGAAATGAAACACTTTGACCAAAACGAGATCTTAACAGTTATGAATAGCTGGAGGCTTGGTGTGGCTGGTATGCTTTATCTTGCTATTGCTCCAAGGGTTGGTTTTTTTAAATAATGATTTGTACCTACTAATTTTCTTTGTTTTCATATCACTTGAGGAATAACTTGTATTTTAAAATCTCTGATAAACACGTAAAAGTCATTGAGATTTTGAAGTAGGAACATTTTCTTATTTATGAGTAGTGAAGTTCAATTTAAAAAAAACAACAACTAGGATTGAATGTCACCACGAAAGGAAAAGGGCAGTTTTTTTTTTTCTTTCTTTGTTGGTGGTGGATCAATTTGTTTGGATACAGCATTGACATCATAGCTACATTAAATCCCTTTGACAAGGCATTACCATTTCGACATATGTATTATATTAATTAACGGTTTATCAGAGCTAATGTTAAAATATTTTTAAAATTGATTTTCATATTTTCAAATCAACAATAATATTTATTTTTGTTCATAATCATTATTTGTAAAACCTATGTACCCCATTCTCTGATCTCTGGTCTTCATTAGATTTGTTACTGATCCTTAGGTGCCCTGACTGACATACCTTTAAATATTTTTAAATAGTTTGTTACTTTTTTGAGAACTGTGTGGGTATGTATTTCATTGTTTAGAAATTTATTTACATCTCTGTTATGCTCTCCCTTCGATAATTAAAAAATATTTTACTATCATCTTTGTACTCAATATAATGGACTTTTCAGATTCTTCATCAAGATGCCTTGTTGAAACCAATGAACATGGTTCAACAGTTTTTAACTCCCTTAAACAATGGTGAAGTAGCACAGCAAGATAATTTTAAAGAAAGGTGACGCTCAGATTAAATATGATACTATTGATTAATTTGAGTCATATTACATTTTTAATTATTGTATTTTTGTTTGTATTTTAGATCAGGACTAATGCTGCAAATTATTCATAAAATGCAATATAATGTGATGCCTCCTCCCCAATCAAAGGCCAAAGTGTTAACAGTATCACATAAGTATGAATTTTTATTTCTTTATTCTTATGGAAATTGACATTATTTAGGGAGAAATTTTGCAATTTTACATTTCCAGGGAAACCAAAATAACTTCTTTAATCAGAATTGTTTTAAATTATATCTAGAAAACCTTAACTGCTTTTGAAGCTAATGTTGTGTAATATGTGAATAATTTTGAGGAGCAAAAATACAAACAACATATGCATTCAATTTCTGTTTTAGAATAATTGCCCGAACACCTATTAGTACCCAACTTGAGAGTGTATGGCAGGGAATTCAGCAAAGAGGCTGGGTCCATATTGAAGCCACTCATTCTCTGGAGAGTCTTCTTCTTGCTGCCGGCCCTGAGTGGTTTGTAATAAATCTTGTTCAGGTAAGAAGTTATTTAAGTGATGAAATTATGATCAAGTGTTGTTGATTCAAAGTATATCTAGAATCACTGATTCTTTTTTTAATTCTTTTTCATGAGGTTTTCTCTGCACTTAGTACTTTGATTGACAGGAAACCTTCATTTTTAATGGAATAAATATCGAAGCAATTTCTCTAGATCTCAGTGATCCATTGTCTTTATTGTAGTGGGTTAAACAATTTTGATGTTAAAAGTGATATTTGTAATAACAACTAAGAAAATAAAAGCAACAACAGAGTATAATAAAACAAGCAACGTGGAATATTAGGGTGATAACTGCCAAACATTAAGAACTAAATGCTAAATGATGAATTAAAGACTAGAAACTGATTCATTGGTGGTGATAGAGAGAGAAAAAGATATGGGGAAACACTCACACACACACACAAGGTTTCAAATAACTGGAAAATTACATAATGTTCTATTCAGGGGAGATCCAGAAAATGAGCAGTAGAGGAAGTAGTAATAATAATTGAGCAGGAATAGCAACAAAATATAATAGAAAACTGCCAAGGATCACAGAAATACCACAGGTAGAAGACTGAATCTAGGAAGTAAACCTCCAAAGTGTAATTCGCAACACTTCAAGAGCAAAGACACAATTCATCACTAAGACTAGATAGTATACACCAGTGGTGTAGCATGACTTTCTTCCTCAGAGAAGATCTCATGTTATGCTATGGATTGCATAAGTGTTATAATAATGGGTCCATAGGTAAATTCAGTGGTTATAATTTTTTAGTTGATAGTCTTGTTCCTCTTCTCCTCCTCTTCCTCCATCATCTTTTCCTCGTCCTCCTGCTTTTGCTTTCTTAAATCTTTTCATTTATATTATATATATCCAGTCCTTTTTGGATATCTTAATTTTTTATGTGCAGCCTAAGCAGCCTGCATTTTTTATGTGCAGTTTAAGCAGCCTGTAACTTTCCTGATAAATCTCATTTCTGCTACTTGAAGTTTGCTTTGATGTCGCTTTCTCATTATCCATGATTCGCTTCCAAACAGGGGAATAAAATTTCATTTTTGTGTCTTTCCTTGATTTATTCTGAAGAGTTTTGTTTATTATCCCACACACTGATTGAAATTTATTAGTTTTATTTTCTGTCTTTGTCTGAGACATAACTGATATCACAACTAAGATAATTAAAATTGGAAATTTGATCAATCACTTTTTTGTGTTGTCAGTTACTACGTTGGGGTGGGCGGGGTATTTACCATAAAGGGGCCATAACTTTAGTCCTCTTTTTAGATATTCGAAGATAATACTAATTTTCACCAAGTTCATGTAGTATATAATAAAGCTCTTTGTAATTCTTCTTCACTTTCTTGCAATATTGTTATCTCATTGATGTAAAGAATAACATTTAGATGTTTGTTATTCTTCAACAATATTCCAGGACCAACTACATATTTCCATTTGTTAATTAGATTGACTACATAAATATTAAAAAGTGTTGGAGATAAACGACATCGTTGTTTGAGTCCCCATTTTGTTAAGAATTCCCCAGGTTTCTTTGACCCAGAATTTATAATAATATTGATGCCTGTGTATAAATTTATAATTTTTCTTATGAGTTGTTCAGGATAGCAATTTACTCTCATTATATTCCATAGTTTTTTTGTACAACACTATCAAAAGCTTTCTTGAAGTTGATAAAGGCTATATGTGTTTCTATATTGATTTCTCGTAATTTCTCTACGATCCTTTTAATACTAAAAATGTTGTCGTGAGTAGATTTTATTTCCAAGAAAAGTTTTAAATCATCTGCAAGAAATAAGAATTTTCAATTTTAGAAAATATCTCTCAGGTGGTAGGTCTATTCAAAAAATACTCCATCAATGTCCAAATCATGAAGTTTCTGTACAAGCATATAATAAACTGTATTAAAGGCTTTACCAAAATCTGTATGTGTCACATCTACTTGAGACTTTTGTTCAATTTTGTCAGTCAGTTTTGTATAATTAAGAGATTAGTTTTAATAAAGACCCCAGATGACCCTTAAAATCATGTTGTTTATTAAGAAGTGCTATAGTTAAAGGGTTAAACTGTTGGTAATTAATAATTCAAATTATATAGTGATTATACAAATAATCACTATCACTAAGTAATAGATTTTGTCCTATAATTAATCACATTAGTTCTATTTTCACTTTTAAATAATTATTCCCTTTCAATTATCATTACTTCTGTCACTACCTCTTCATCTTTGCATCATCTTACATGCATCTTTGTTTTTTTTTCTACCTGACCCTCTTCCCAAACTAGCTTCTTCTTGTTCTAGTTCTTTTTTGGACTTCCAGAAAATTTTGCTTGTTGAATTTGTGTTCTTTCTTTCGTTAGTCAGCACTGAACATTAACTTAAAATTCGCATTGTATAATTTTGAATTGAATTGATGCCTTATTTTACGTGGTGAGACTTTAATGGTAACATGAATTAATTTAATTTTTATACAGTTTTACGGGCAGGCCCGCACTAATTTTGTTACACTACTGCGCTGTTACATGGGTTGCCTAGGAGAGAGTGGCCAAGTTTCCTAAGTTGAAAACTTTTTGTTAAGAAACAATTTTTTATTACTCCATCTCTTGTGTTTGGTTGTAAAATTGTCACATCATAAAATGGACTGGTAAAGAAGTTGTGTTTGCGCCTCCTTGATGTGAATGCTCTTGTAAACAATCCTTAATATTTATAAAGTGTAAATGCAATTCATTAATTCTCCATCAAATTATTTCTTTTGGTGTATGTATGTATGTTAATATTAGTTGTGAAGAGAGCTGTAAAATGAAACCGTACTACAGAAATAATAATGATGATGATGATGATGATGATGATGATGATGAACAAAAGATGAGATATTGACTGGGAATTTAATTCATGTACAATTTTTAAATAAGATTGAAACATTCATAATATATAAAGAATGTACAACATATATGATTTTTAATTTTGGAAACTAATCTCAAGGTTAAAGAAGCAAGAGATATCTTATATTCTGGTTAATACAATAGTATTGTGCTATGTAATTTAATTCAATAAATTCAATGTGAGACAGCTCTCTGCTTTAAACAAACTCTCAAAATCCAAATTGAAATTTGAATAATCATTAAAAATATATAATGCCTTCTTTTTTTTATAAAAGAAATTAAAAGATATGTTTGTTTGTTTTTTTCTATAAAGAAAGCTCAGCCCGTTGGTTTTGATATTAAGTTATTTAGTGATTGTAAGTTTTTCATCATCATCATCATGAACTAATCAGAAATTAGGTTTTACTACCTATTTCTATCACAGTATTCATGGTAGTTATTAGTCTTCCCAGAGTTCCTGCTGTTGCCATTTCTTTTGTGATCTCTGTTCCCTCTTGGTTTGATCTTCCAGATCAGTTTTGCCAGCCTGTTTATTCTCATCAAGTGATCCCATTTCCTTTGAGAATGTTCTAGTCCTTGTACTATACTTTTGGGTTTCAATTTCTTTCTAATATCCTTATTTCCATTAATTTTCCATTTACAATTTTGTCTGTTTTTATCTTCATCTTGTATTGCCATAACTTTTGTTTTGTGTACTGCTATCTTCATGGATTAAGTTTCATATTTTAAGTTAGTAAGTTTTATATTTGATTTACAGGAAGTCCTACGATGCCGATATCAGGAAGAGTTAGATCGGTCTGTGGATCTTGCACTTGGTGTTTTACATCTCAATATTGAGCCATGTACATTGGCACTTTTGCTTACTGTCCTCCCTCAGTACTTACATAACAAATTGCTGTAAGTTTACCTTATAATTTTTCATATTAAAACAAGAGCTGCTATTGCTTGAAATGGTAGAGAGTTCTCAATCAGTGTGTTGGTTTTGTTAATGTTCTGTTTTTATGAATTTTTGATCAATTGAAAATACAGATGCATTTAATTATGAAAATAATTTGATGTTGTAGAAGCGATGAGTTGGTGGAACCTCAGGCTTCTGCTTTAGCAAAACTGTGTGCTTATTGCATATTTGCTGCTCTGGAACACCAGAACAATACTGCCACAAGTTCAAGACCAAGCCGTAAGAGATCACGTCGTGATATGGAAGGAGAGGTATGCTTTAAAAAGTATTGTATCTCTCCAGAGAGCATGCAGTAGCATTAAAACTAATTTTTACTTTCATAAATACTAGTTTATATGTTATGTAGAGAAAATTACATAATATTGTAAAGAAGTATTGAGCGTTTGATGAAAATATGTACATAAGGAAACTCTTTTTATGTAAGGATCCCCCAAAATGTTTATTTATCAAAATCTGGAATAGAGTAGAGGTTCGCAAGGTGAACCACGTGTAAAAAAAACAAAAAATGATAGAACGGAAGGGGCTTGCTGAGAAGAGTGGATGGTGTTGGCAGGACTAACATGGTATGCAAAATAGAGCATACAGGAGAGGCTGCGAAAGCATAGTTAGTGGAAGGAACAGATAAGAGTGAAGGGGAGAGGTAGAAAGTGTTTACGGGATGGCTGTGGCATGTCAGATAGGGTATGTGGGAAAGACGATAAAATGTAATGAGCAGGATTAGATAGTGGTTAGTCTGGTTAGCCATGGCATGGCATGCTAGATAGGACTTGCAGGAGAGACAGAGAAGTATGATGAGTGCGAGGAATAGTGGCTGAATGGTGGGGTGGGAGGGTGCAAGATGACCAAGACATGCCAGATGGGGTGTGTAGGAGAAATGAACGAAGCATGATGAACGGAAGGAACAGATGGGGCAGAAGGGGCTGGATGGGCAGGATGAGAGTTGTAATGGACGGCTATGGCAGGCCATACAGTGTGTGCAGGGGAGACAGGTGAAACATGCAGTGCAGGTGAGGCTGCTTAATAGAAATAAATATCTGGGCAATGTTGAGTAATCAACAATATGTATATTAATTCGATTTTGACGGAAATTCATGTTTTTGGGTTTCTTGATACCGAAAGAGTGTTTTTTCAAAATGTTGCTCTGTCCATCTGTCTGTGAACACTACTAGCACATAAACCATGTGTAGGAGTTTTTCCAAATTGAAAAAAATCCTGTCCATCAGGCTATAGTTTACGCTATTTTGAAAAACATTCTTTAAAATGGGGGGTACTTTACATGAAGCCTCTGGGACATTTTCAAAATTTTTGCTTTAGTGTTTGTTGCACTGTTCAAGGTGACATACAATTAATTTTTCTGTATTCTTTTGTTTTTTCAAAAGTTAACAAATGTAATTTTTTTTAAATATTTCTCACACTGTTAATATGCATATTTCAATCTATTTGAATACACTATTGCATTTGTGAGTATAAGTGCTTCAAATGACTTCTAATTAAGTTTTTTCGAAAATTCGGTATGGGAAATTGTTGGTTTGTGTGCTAATTTTTGAAGTCAGTTTTTTCAAGCGTTATTGTATTCTTTAATGTCAGTAAGCCCCTTCACTTAATATTGATAAATTTGAAATTAGTCAATATGAAGTGTAAGAAGCAATTAAACAACTTAATATTAATAAGTTAGAGGTCATGATGATATTCCTACATCCTTTTTAAATAATTGTATTCCCAATTGTGATGGGTCTCATTATAGTACATTTGTATGTTTTGTAAAATTTGCTGTTGACAAAAGGCAGATTATATATGAATTAGGGCATGAGAGGGGCATTGTGATAGACAAAGAATTGTGTGAATGACCCAGTGTTCGGGGAAGAAGTGTTAGCAGTGGAAGGCATGGAACATTGTGGAAGTATGGACACTGCTGGGGGTGACATTTACTGTGAAACTGCTTGTGTCATGCACACCAGAGGTAACCCTTTACACAAATAGGAATTGTCTGTCCAACATTGCAAATGAAAGCATCTCGTATGTGATAATTTTAATGATGTTAATTCATAATGTACCAAATATTTGTGAATTTTTATTTTTTTATTTTACCTTTGTATAAATGATCTCTTATAATATTTCAGTTTCCTTGGGTTTTAATTATTAGTCCTGTTGTATTTTAAGGTGTATTTAACATGTGGATTATATTTTTAAAATTTCAGCGAACTTTCTCTTGATACATTCTCTGTTGTATCTATTTTTTTATGTATTCTGAGAGTTTCATTCAATTGGTTGGTTCTCAGGATTTGGAAAGTTTGTGCTCTACTAACAAGATAGCACGTCTTGGAGAAGCAGGTGATGCTGCTGATCTTGTATTTGGCTCAACCACAGCATCTTCTGCTAACCCTGCAGGAGCATCAACCCTCAGTTCTCAGTCAGGAAGCAAGCCTCCAGTCCCTCCAGTGAGGGAGCCCCTCCAAAGTGCTCTAGTGACAGTGTTCAAGAACTTGTCCTTGATAACAAGCAGAGATGGTGAAGTGTCACAACAGACACATTTTACTTGTCGCTTTCTTCAGTATTTAGTGCGATGTGGGGGGAACAGGACTGGTCCAGTACTACAAGCAATGCCTAGTACTCTGGTGAGAGACACTCTTTCCCTGAAATATGTACGGATTTGTGAATGTTTGATTATAGATTTTTTACTATAAGTGAACTTTTACTTGGTTGCAAATTGCATGTCATCTGATACTTGTTATGACTTAACCTTTTGACTGCCGTGAGTAAGCTTAGAATATCTCTAAATCAGACCAAAAGCATTTTTATTGTAGCAAAACTTCGAACTAATGCAAATCAAGACCAGTGAACCATAACAGCATCAAAATATCAAGTTGGAGTGCAGTACTACATACAGATACTGTTAAAATCATACCTTGCATGTTTACTTGTCCAGAGGCTCCCTGGGATGGCCTGACTGTGTGCGCTAACAGAGGCCCTCAGGCACAGAGATTTTCTGCATGTTAATACATCCATAGCAGTCTAATGGTTAAGTAGTTGCAACGTTTTCTGATGTAAGGGATTGCTCAGTGTTCTGAACACACCAAATTATAAAATTAAATTTATGCTTATTTGCTGAATTGTGTCAACATCTCCTTTTGCTGAATTAAAGTAATATATTATTTTTGGTTTGTGGGTTTTGGGATTTAAGGAAGCATCTGTGTGCACTGGATATTAAAGTAACAGGCTATCTCGTGTTTGGAACATAAGATACTATTATCATTTATTTTGGTAAATCAAATAAATAGTAATGAACATCTCTTTGCCTAGTTGCTTAAAATTGTGTAGTATTGTCCTCTTATTTTTTCATGAGGAACTGTCTCTCATCTAGTCACGCAGAATAGATAGTACACTACTGATGCTCTGAGAAATTTTTCACCTTTAAGATTTTTAATGAAAATTCAAACCAGTTAAATGAAATGCTACCAATAGTTTTGGACAATGAATATTTTTGAATGATATAGTTGTTTTCCTTTTGTTACAGGTACCAAGCCTATTACGTGCATTACCAGATCTTTTTAGTACTGATCTTCTGTTACGTTTGTATGATCTTGACACTCCTGTTGGCAGGAAAGCTACTGCAAGGGATTTGTGTATGTTACGCAACATGGCACTCAAGCAAATGAAAGACTGCACCTAACATGAAGGGAGAGATTCAGAAATGAAGGAAATGCTCACATACTATGTCTAACATAAAGTCTGATTATTCTGTTGTATGCAACTGTTTTGCATATTGAAGTATGAAGCTTCATAAACCAGAGAGTATTTTTTTCAGGTTTTTGTAAATGTGTTCAATGAATGAAGAAATTTTGGTCCAAGAGCAATAGCTGCAAAGTGTGCTCATCAGTTTTATAAGTGACATTGATTTTCCCATTTTTTTCTTTTTAATATGTCTGGGTTTCTGAAGGATAAAACATGAAAGCATTTCAAGATAATGAAAAGCATTAATTGGAGTGGTTACTAAATGTTTTCCAATTTAAAGGGAAATAATACATAATTTGTTTGCTTTTTACAACGTGATTTTTTGTGCTGAAATGGAAATCATATCAATGGTTTAATATGAAAGTATTTTAAAATATTTTTTGTACAGTATTTTTAAGTGTGCATGAGGTTTTGTGTATATAAATTATTTTGTGTGATTGTTGAACAAATTAAATGATATGATCAAATTGATATTTATTAATACAAATATATACAGGAAATTTTAAATATGAGTGCAATGTTGATTTTTTAATGTTTTCTGTGATTGTAGTAGAATCTATTTCACTAAGGAAATCACTACATATTTTTTGGAAACTCTTTAATAGCCACTAACATGAGAGCAACGTCCAGACTGAAACCTTGAGATCTCCTGTTCCTTTTTATTATTTTTTTCCCCACTTTCTTTCTCAATATTCAATTTTTAAATTATTATTTATGACGTGCAGAGTTTTCGCACATATCCAGATTATATAAATTTATTTATAACGAAATAAAAATAAATACTCAGGAAAGGGAAAAGACAACCTTCTCTCTATTCTAAAACAACTACAGATGGCGCAGCAATTGAATAAATGTTCAAAAGAAATTCACAATAAGTATTTTGTGATTTCTTAGGCCTGCTCTCATTCATTTTCCCACATGTTCCTCACTTATTAGCTGTTCTAGAACTAGTTTCTTATAAAATGCCAAAAACGTTTATGTTTCCTTAACATTTGATATAAAAGATTATAAAGCTTTAAAAATATGATAATTAGTAACTGAACTCCATGGTCAAAAAAATTACTGGGTGCTACAATGATGTGGACAAATGTATAATAAATACTAAAATGTACAGAACTATTGCAGTCATTTTTAAAGTTCACATTTTCAAAATCAGGAAATGGGTAGTAACAGGCCAGTTCTTGAAAATTCACAATTGGTGTTTAGAGATATTTTTCGTTCCTTTTCCAGGTACCTAAAACACATGTTTGATTTTTTTAAATTACTTTCTTTTCCAGAAATAATTTTTTGCGTTTGAATTTGGTGCTGAGATAATTATTTTCTTATTTTTCACATTTTTTTGAATAAGATAAAAAAAGTTAAGTTGTCGAAAAAATTTAAAAAACAAACAAATATGTTTTTGCCTTAGAGGGATGATGATGGTGGATAAGAACCTTTCAAAAATCTTATTCTTATGTCAAAGTCACAATTCAATTACTTCATTTTATTTATTTGGTCAAAGAAAAGAAAAAAATATATGTGACATGGGGGAGAAGTACTATCTGTGCACGTGTTCTTAGGCTCCAGAACCCCTTCCCGACATTTGAAATGTATTTTAGAATAGACATTTTCGCCTCTGAGTTATAGAAAACTCATTTGCATAGGTAAAAGAACACCAGATTAGATTGTTATGCATTGCCAACAAAATAATAACACATCACTTGCTCTACTCCTATCATTACAACAAAAGGAGAGCTCAACAAAACATGTGCGTAGTAAAGGTAAATTTACATCCAGAAGCATAACAAGGGGCTCTCTCAACATTTGCTCAATGGATTAGGGGCAACTTCACAAAAACTTGATTGAGAAGACGATCATTGAAATGGAAATTGAACTTCATTACTTGTTACAGCCATACTAAGCCTTTTAACTAGTGGAGCTAAAACAGCACCTATTTTCATCCCCTTAGAAACTATTACAAAATATTAATTACCGTAATTTCTCTTGTATCAACACATCTCAATCAATTGATGCTGCCAACAATATGCACATATTTTATCAATTCTTATTAAAAAACACCATTCTTGCCAGAAGTAAATGGAATTGCTTTTCAATTTTCATTGATGTGGTTTTATGAAAGTTCTTAAGAGGTGATCTTTACAAAACACAACTGCTTCTGTTTCGAATACATAAAATTATTTTGTGCCATATCTCCAAGTGTATTCTAAGTTCATTTTTCTTTTCCATTTCTAAGTTCATTTTCATTTTTCATCATCTTCATATGTTAGTTTTTGAAAACATATAAATATGAAATAGTAAATGAAAGAATACTATTATAAACATATTTTTTCAGCGCATTGTACGGACAAGCAAGGACAATTTCACAAATAAATTGAACATCCATAACTAAATGCCATCCAATATATCCCATTATGAATGCACTCGAAACGACGATATCATTACCCATGCATATCTGTACATACCCTAAAGAGCCAAAAAAATGGCACATCTGCCTTATATCGTGTAGAACCCCCGCGAGCACGCAAAGTGCCGCAACTCAACATGGCATGGCCTCGACTGAATCTCTGGACTCTACTAATGTCAGAAATATAGTGCTGGAGGTAATTGATACTATGGATCCTGCGGGGCCGCTCATAAACTCGTTAAGAGTATGAGGGCGTAGAGATCTCTTCTGTACAGCACGTTGCAAGGCATTACAGATATGCTCAATAATGTTCATGTCTGGGGATTTTGGTGGCTAGTGGAAATGTTAAATTCAAAAGAGCCACTCTGCAATTCTGGACATGTGGGGTGTCGCATTGTCCTGTTGAAATTGCCCAAGGTCGAATACTACGCTGCCAGATGAAACCCCTTTCCTTCACATTGAGGGTTTCATGATTAAATAACGAGGGATAAAGAATTTAAAATTCTTGCAGATGCATTCATTACATTAAGAATATCTCGCGTCTCTGCCAGTCGTATTAAGTTCACAGTAATTCCTTTTTATGAAGATCTCTCCCTATAGATCATGAAAACCGGTTCCGTTTCTATGTTGGACAGATTCCGTTTTATGCTGCGTAAAAATACCGTATAACTTCACGTGCCAGAGAAATTTTCCGGCTAAGGCAGTTTTCCGGCTTGTACATATATCCGGATTCCGGTTTAGACAGAGTTTACTGTATTTGTTGAAATTAGGAAGTCTACGTAATAAGGAATATATTGCTGGCGGTGTGCTGAAATATGCATAGATTAATCAAGTAATCTTTCAGTGAAAATATGTATGTTGTATACCTCGCAACAGAGACAAAACATGGATTTTATCAGAAAGATTTGGAATCATTTCTAAAAGGCTAATGCGTAAACTTTTTTGTGGCTAGGCCAAAGGTTTGTGTATTGTGTGTTGCAGTGCGCACGCAATTTTGCATTTTACTGCTATGTGTAAGTGGCTGGTGTGAGTTCGTGTCGGACCTTAGTCAAAAGCCAAATCGGCTTTTGTGTTGCACAACGCCCTTAGAATATTAGAGGGAAGTGCTAGTCTTCTTTTCCCTATTGTAAGGACGTGCCGAGCTAACGGTTTAAGCGTTGCCGGAGCTTCGTCGGTTTGAAAGGCTTGATAAGCTTCGTTAAACGAAAGCCGTCTCGAGCATTGATATCAAGTTCCTTCCTCAGTACTTTCAACCGTTTCCGAAACGGTGGGCGTTCTATGAGCCGTAGAACTTTGTTCTGTACCAGCTCAAGTGTATCATTGTACTTCTGTGCTGTAGACCACCACGTTGCCGCAGCGTAGGTGGCCACAGGCCGGCAACACGTTTTATAGAGTGCCAGGCGAAGTTCCAAGAGAAGTATAGGTTCCCTCAAAAGAGGTTGTAATAATGGAATTCTTTGTTGTAATTTTGATCGAATTCGCCTGACATGTAAATGCCAGCGCAGCCTTTGATCAAAAGTGACGTTTTGGTAGTCTTAAACGTTTGGTGTATTTGTGTTTGCGGAGGGTGTAACAAATGTCCTGTGACTTTTCTGCTGAGAAAGTCAAGTGGTTTTGTTCCGCCCACTTCAGCGTCAAGTTCTTCTGTTTTTGAAGTATTTTGAGTTAGTGGTCTAGGTTTATTCCTCTCGCTAAGACGGCTATGTTATCAGCGTAAAGGAATAGTCCTATTCGTGGTATTTGCGGTATGTAACAAATGGCCCCTTGTTTGCTCCTGAACAGTAATATAACTTCGCTCTCTCCACCCAAGGCATCATATTGACTCGTCATACACGATTGTAATTGTATATGTATTATTATTATTATTATTATTATTATTATTATTATTATTATTATTATTATTATTATTATTATTATTATTATTATTATGTCATTGACATAGAGCGAGAACAGAAGCGGAGAGAGGACGGAGCGCTGAGGGACTCCAGCCCAATCCTTCGCTTTGCCCACTTTTACCACGAACGTGCGGTTAGTGAGGAAATATGTAACCATTTCGGTTACATCTTGAGGAAGGCAGCGTCGGAGTTTGGAGATGAGTGTGCTGTGTGCTACTTTGTCAAAGGCTTGTACCATGTCGAGATATTTTTTTCTTTGTCCCCTCTACAGTAACCCTGTGAAGAAGGGGAATTTATTATCTTATATGTTTATATATTATGCTGCTGCCTTGCGGCTTAAGAGCTACAAGGGGGGCTTTTTTCTTACTACTGAATTTACAATTCTAAACCTAAAGTTATCTTAATTGCACTTTGCATTACTAACTTACACTAAAATCATTTTGTATACTATTTTATATATTCTACGTAAATTGTTTTGTATATATTGTAAATTATTATTATTATAATTTTTTTCTACAATTCACACATCATTCATACTGTTACGAATATTGCATACCATGCCGATTCGCTGCGCGCGGATTGCGTCATCTGCCGCGCCCCTTCCCTCTCCCCGAATAGACGGTTCCGACTATGCGCGAGCCGTGAGAAACGCCGAGAATGTGCGGGTGCCTGACAAGCGCCGGCAGGTATAAATGCGCCGCTGCCGCGGCCGCGAGTCAGTTAGTAAAGAAGTTAGTAGAAGAAGTTAGTAGAAGAGTTATAGAAGTCAGTTAGTAGAAGACGTGAGTAAAGTGAGTGCAGAGAAGCAGTCAGTCCGTCAGTGGTGTCCGAATGGAAGCTGTGCTGTGAAATGTGCATGCGGTGAAGAGGGTGCAGCGGTTGAACAGCAGTCAGCAGTCTGAAGTCTGCAGTGGAAGCTGAGCTGTGAAGGTGCATCGCGGTAAGCAGTGGTGCAGTGGGGAAACAGCAGTCAGCAGTTTAAGTCTGCAGTGGAAGCTGAGCTGTGAAGTGGGCATCGCGGTAAACAGCAGTGCAGTGACCCTGGTGTGCGCAGTGAAGTGTGGTCTGCGCAAATTGGTGGTCTGCGCAGGAAATTGTTCTGTGCAGGAATTGGTCAAGTGCAGTGACGTGGACAGAGCATCGGACTGGCTGATACTGTAGAAGAAGAGAACCGTGTAAATAAATAGTGGTGTAAGGATGGAACTGTGTAAATAAATATCAAGAGAACGGAATCGTGTGTAAAGAAAATAATTAAGTGTAATATATCTGTAAATAGACCAAGTAGATTTTAGTGTATAATTGTTCCCGAATAAACCTTATTTGTTTAAATAATATTGTGTTGGTTTTAATTCACCGCGGGAGAAACGTTACAATACTATTTTCATTATATACATAACCATTCATTCTTCCCATTCATTCGGACTTTCCCTTCACTGCACTCCACTGTTCGCCACGGCACTGACTGTCAGTATATGACAGTATATCCTACGTGAGTAACAGATCAGCGGAATTTCTGCCAGTCCAATTCTAAGAGCTTTGTAGTGATGCGGAATGCCCGGTCTGAAGGCAAACTGTTCATCTCAATTCGTAAACACAAGCTCTGCTCGAAATCTCGAATCAAAAATCGAAATAAGATAAAAACATCTTCTTCTTCATCACCCCCACATTTCAGCACACCATTGAGAATTAAAACAAAGCGCACAACTAGATAAAACTATATTAATTGATATTTCAATACTAAATTAAATTAAAAACAAAAATTATTATTCGATGATTATTTAATTAGTTCCTTATCAATATTTTTTCCTCATTAAACTCCATACTTTAGCGGGTCCATACCTGCATATACACTAGTGTCTGTGAGAAATGCAACCCTAAGAACATACCCCTTACAATGAAATCTATTCCACCAATTAGGAAGAATTATCAAAAAATTTGTA